GCCAGCAGTCAGCGTGACGGGCAGCGCGCGCCAGCGAACCTGTGTGCGTGATGCCTGTGCACGGTAGCGTGCGGGTAACACCAGTAGCACGCCAACCCTCCCCGCATGCGAGTCAGCGTACCGCAACGCACGGCAGCGTGCAGTACGCATCCAGCAGTACCCGCAGCGTTGCCCTACGCACGCCTGCGGTCAGCCAGTGCCTGCGCCCGCGCACACAGCGCGGGGCAGCACCCAGTTCAGCTATGTCATCGGTATAAATTATGTTTTAATTCTGATATAATAATGTTATCGTTTATTATTTTCGGAATTAATTATTTTCAGTCGAGATTACCGAAATTTATTTTCGACGTACCGTTTACGTTCGAAATAATTTTGGTAATTAAGCTTTATGTTTGATTAAATAATTAAACATATAGTGAGTGATTAAGGCCAATTAATCCCATCATTAGGGTTTCAAACCGTGAGGGTCATGGCAAATATCCCAACATTATGCTAAGTCCATGCGTATATATGTATTTAAGTTCCAATTGTACTCATTAGTTTCCTAAGTCTTAAGGAGACTTCTCCCCTCCACACATTAGTCATCCACGTGTTTTAAGGAGAAGTAAAGGAGGAAGATTAGTCATCTCATCATCCCTAAGGAGCAAACAAATGTTAAGTGAGGAGAAAGCCACGTTATTAACACATCATGACCCAACAAGTTCTTTTCTCTCGGCATCAATATATATATAGGAGGGATTTGAGCGAAATTTTCCACCATTTTAGCCACTTATATGTTCAGCTTATATTATCATCCCTCAGCAGCAAATTAGTCCCAATAATTTCCCTAATTTTCCCATCTAATCGCACGGCAAACCGCACGGCTAGTCAAGTACGCACGAAGCAAGGAGAGTTCGAGTAATTGGGGTGTTTTGATCGAGTGAGCGAAGAGGTATGGTTCTCTTCAGCTATTGTTCGTGTTATTTAGGTCGTGTTGAGGCTAATGGTTCGAGTAATTTTCAGAATTTCAAAGAAAGATCATATTATGTTCGGTCCAGACGTATGTAAGATAATACTTCCTTATGTCCACTTCAGTCCGACAAGTTCCGAGCATTTATCGTTCATTTAGCCTTTATTATGTGTTTCATGCGCAGTCAATTGTGTTTAGTTGAATCAAAATGAAGTTTTGTCGTGGAAATGGCCAAGCCGTCACTAGCGCCTATCGCGTGTGGCCTCGGGTGGCCTCGGGCCGTGTCTTGTTGCCTTCAGTAATAACCATATTCGTCCTCGTGTTTATGTATTAAATTACCTCACAGTAATGTTCATGCTGAGTTGTTCTGGAGTTGCCGAGTAAAAAGGTATTTTGGCCGGGAGACGGCGTATAGCCGTCGGCGGCGCACGGCGCGCCCGCCGCGGCCCTTTCATGTTATCGTGCAATAGTTACGTTTTCAAGTCATGATTGATAAATATATTCATGTTAAGTCAGAAAAATGCTAAAGGAATTCAGTTTGGTCGGAAAAGTTGCCGGACGGCC